CACCCGAGCTCCCTGTCACCCGAGCTGTGGGTCCCCAGGAGGTGACCTTCTGGGAGCCTGACGAGACTCTGACTTTATCCCTGTGACAGAGCCAGAGGGCTCGGAAGCGTTTTGCTTAGGTTTCCTTACTTCCGTGGCCTGACTCTCTAAATTGCTCTTTGGTGCGTTCTCAGCGGCTTCCCCTGCCCTCTCAGGGTTCATTTTCTGTTGTTGCTGTGTTTCTGAAGAGTGTCCTAATTATTTCACAAAGCACTCTGTAAGTCGTGTACGCTCCCCTGCCCTGCCGACCAGATGATGTGTGATGTTGCAGTGGCAGCATGGAGCTGACATTCGGAGACTCTGTGTGACACCCTGGTTCCCCGAGGTCCCTCTTCCTGTGTGACCTCCGAGCAGCCTGGGTTCACAGCTCCCTTTTCAGCCTCAAGTCTTGCCCCACCGCAGTGGCTCCCATGATATGTTCCTGCTGGGCTGTGCACACATGTTCCCTCTCTACTCTCAGGGAGGTTAGAAGGTGGAGTTCACATCTTTCCCTGGGAGAGCTGTGGAGAGACAAGGGGATGAGACAGAAGTGAGACGGAAGCTCTGGTGATGGCCCACCTCGCTTGTCGTCCCCGTGAGGCACTGAGGTTTGCAGAACTTAGGCTTTTGCCGCTCTCTTCTTTCCCTGGGGACTTGTCTCCAGCACTGGGAAAGTCTGCATTTGCACACCTGCATACAGGACATGTTCCCACAGCACAGCTGCAGATAGGGACCAGCATGCCCCTGGGAGTCATCCCTGGCCCATTGAGCCATCTTAACCTTCTCAATGTCTGACTGGCTGAGTCATAGCTCACTCCAAGCCACTGAACCAGCTGCACAGACCCAGCCGGCTGGACCCTGGTCTGACTGCACCCAGGAGCAGCCTTACCCTGTCCTGTCTCCACCAGCTGCAGGGAGCTATGTGGGTAGCAGCTCCCTGGGCCTGCACCAAGGACTGAGGGCGTTTGGCTGCAGAAACGAAACTGAATGCACATTGCCCTTTCGGCTGCTCACGTATCCACCAGCGAGCTGCAGCGGGCTTTTATAATCTGTTGTTTGGATCTTAGAGGTTTGGTTCTGGGTCAGCATGTTTTTGGTCACTTGTCGCCTTGCTGTCAGAGCCGGATGCTGTGCAGTGGCCCAGTGCTGGATGCTATCCCCTCCCCCAGGTAAGAGCTGCTGTCTCATGGTGGAGGGAGCACAGGACAGGGAGGAGGAGGAAGTGAACAGGACTTGGCTCCTGCTCAGGGCCGCATTTAGCTCTCAGATGTAAGCTCTGCCACCTGCTGGCCAGGTGGTCTTCGCGTCTCCAGGCAGTGATTTCCTGATCCCAAACAGCAGCACATTCAGTGCAACTGGTTACCACAGGAAGTTGTTTGAAATTGGATTAGCGCTCTGGGATGCTGTTTTTCTGTCCTTTTCCTCCACAATGCTCTACGTGGGAGACCACCTTGCCATGGCCCACAAGCCATCAGCTTGCTGGGGACAGGTCAGTGCTGCCCTCTAGGGGTCTCCTTGGCTGATCACTTGAGGCAGGTACATCATCCTTGCTGAGGACAGTGAGACCAGCTCCGTCCACTGCTGCCTGCTTTCTGTTCCAGAGGCTGCACTGCCCGCCCAAGACAAATGACAGGCTTCTGTCTGGGTTGGGGCATAGCCCCATGGTGGTGCAAGCCGCCCTGAAGCCCTACTTTCTCACAGACCTTGTCACATTCCTTCCTGGAAGTTGGGTCCCAGCTAGTTATAGTCACTCCAGGCTTCTCCAGATGCCTGTGCAGCACCTGGAGCTTTTCCTCCTAGCATGTGTGTCCCTGAACACCATCCAGGAGATGGTGGCATGTGTCCCTGTGCAGGGAGGGCTCCCATCTTCTGTCCTCTTCCTCACCTCCTTGCTCCTGGTCCCTCAGCCCCTCCTGCCAAGGAGAGTCTGGCAATCTCTGCCTTGTGGACAGCTTGCTTCTCTTTGCCACCTTGGCACCGTGCCCTGGAGCCACTCGGGTGGCACTGTTCACCTCCTGGCATCAGAATGCCCAGGTTGCCTTTACTGCTTAGTGGCCTGATTCATAGGAACTGACACTCAGGCCAAGAGAATCAGGGCTCCACTGGGTGGGGCATTGGGGCCCTTCTGGCCTCAAGCCACAGCTCTAACAGCCTCGAGGTGACCCCCAGCAGAGGGAATCACACCCCAACATCCATAAGGCAGGGCCCCTTACATCTGCAATGCAGGGGCTCTCATTCCTTTGATATGGCCAGCAGAGCTGTAATCAGTGTTCTGATTGTGGACTCGCTGGTGGCCAGGCCCTGCCAGGGTGCCCTGCCTGCCCCATGTCACCACAGCCCCTGCCCCCACCCTGCAGGCTGATGCATGAGACTTCTTCATGCCAGGGCCTTGTGCCTGTGGTTGCTTGAAAATAGAGGCCTTGAGGAGGCGGCAGCCCTTGTCCCACCCATTTGGAAATGAGAGTTCATCTACCCTGGGTGCCCTGTTCAGGGTGGGGTGCAGATATGGCAAGGGTTTAAATTTTAAATACATTGTGGTAAGAGCCCTATTGCCAGGAATGCCCCCAGAATCCTCCCTTTCCATTCAAGCGCATTTATCCTATTATTCCTGTCACTTTCTGAAGCAGCCCTGGAGCCCTCTGCTTTTGTGTAAAGCATGATAAAAAAAATACAGTGAATGCTGCTGCCCAACACCATCCACCTGCAGAATAGGCCCCTAAACACAGGACACTGTCCTCATCCACCACCTTAGTCACCAGATCTGGCACTGTGTGACTTGGTTTCTCCCCAAAGTCAAAGAGCCTGGTAAAGGTTTTGAATCAATTCAGGACATGGAAGCAGCAATAAAAAGGCCTCAGGACAGAAAACTGCAAAGCCGCTTCAGAAAGTAGCAAGAGGTGTTGGGAGGAAGGGAGAGGACCTGGACAGGGACTGATGGCACGTGTTCTTTGCTACCGTGAAAATATTCAGCGCTCACTGCATTTTCAGTCATACCCTGTTTTTAATAGCAGTGGGGAGGCTGCCTCTTTGGCCAGCAAAGGGATTTCTCCTCGCTTTCTGGAGCCCTCGCTTGCTCACAGGAAAGCATGCTGGGAGGATGTGGCTTTGCCAGACAGCAGCTCAGTGGCTCTCTGAAGCTGGCTAAGCTGTCTGGAGAACTTGGCAGATGACACTAGGGGACAGTGACACAATCATGGGTCCAAACATCCAGGACTTGGGAAGGACTGGGTCTCTAGGACATGCAGAGACCATGCAGGTGGTCACATCCTGTCCTGGAGGTGGGTGGCCATCTCACTGATAAGCATGTCATGACTTGTGTCCAGCCCAAGAAGGGGAGGACAGCAAGGGAGACCAGCGGACTTGTGCAGAGTGCTGGGGACCGGAGTGCCAGGTCCTACTTCAGAGGGGGAGGTCACAGCAGGGCTGCAGAAGCTGCTCCCTAGGGCAGGATGGAGGAAGAGGCCATCTCCTTCCATAGAGATGGTCCTGGAGGCCAGTGGCCTGCCAGCTCTAAGTGACAGCAGCAGCCTGTGTCCAGGCCTAAGGTCATTCTTCACTAGAAGCTGAGGGTGTCATATCACCAGGAGAAGAAAAGCTCCCCAGGAAGGCCTAACCTGGCCTTTGGAAATCTGGGCTCTGCATCAGCCCAGAAGATCCTGAGTCCTGTGTGAGGCTCTGCTGTCCCAGTTCTTTTTCTGTTAAAGTCACAAGGCTGTAGTGTTCTCCTGTTCCACAAGGTGAGGTCAGTTTTGAATGATAGGAAAGGATACTGCCCTTGAGGGCCTCCTCTGCCGCAAGCTGCACCGAGGCCCCCGCATCCCATCTCTCGGTTCTGTTTGAAGATCCACTCGGGTGAACTGATGGTTTTTTGCTGTGACCTCAGTGCCAACTGTGGTAGGAATCCCAGTAACTATGACATCCCAGAAATGGAGAGGGGACAACTCCTGTCCCCTTCACTGTCTGCTTGGAAAGCACTTTGTAGACTAGAAGTCACCATCCAGAGTTGCATGTTCAGTATGTGATTTTTCCTCTAATTCTTTCCACTCGCTCTGATGAAAGCATAAGCAGCCCATTGTGACTCAGAATTGGTTTTTAAAAGGAAACCTGTGCTGTGACAAGGACACCCATATGAGATCTGAAAGCTGAGGGAAGCTGTCAGGTGCCAGGTGGGAAGGACAGCACTTTGGTCTCTTTTCCAAATGTCCTTTCTTTTCCTTATTTTCTTGTTCTGGTGCTGGGGATCTAGGATGTCTTGTTAAGGATGCTATGTTAGTTTTAGTCATTTTTCTTAGATCTTAGATGATTAAAGCCTTGTGGATTTGGGGATCTTTTTAAAAGTCATTCCTACTCCCAGTATCTAACAACTATCCCTTTAATGTACTGGTTGAGGGCCCCTCCCACCATCACCTGGTTTAGGAAAAAGAAACTCTGAGGTCTCAAAGCTCTTCCATGCAAGGGTGAGGCTTCCTACCTTGGGGTGTGAGCAGGGAGGGGCAGAGCGAGTCTGCTGGGCTGTGGTCACCGTGAGAGGCAGCGATGTGCTGGGGACCTCATAGGGCTTACTGCGGTGTAGAGCCATGCAATGGCTCCCCGCTGTGGACCAGAGGCACCAAACACTTCAGAATGACAGCCCTCTCCCTGGCCCAGCTGTGTCCCATGCCCAGGTCTTGCAGCTATATTTCAAGCATGTTTGGGTTTTTTTCTTTACCACGACCAAAACAACAGTGTAAGCATGCCTCACGTCAGAGTGCCGTACATGTACATACATGGAGCCAGTGAGCACTGCTGTCCTGTCCCTTATGCTCATGTGTGCTGAAGGCGACAGGGACACCACAGCACAACTCATTCTAGCCATCGTCAGATTGGTAAATGGTTCGTGCAGTGCCCAAATCTGAAGGCGCACCCCATGTGTGGAGAAGTCAGCCTCCTTGGGAAGGCCTGGGCAGGCCCCCATTAACAGCTTCTCCTTTGTTCTTCTTGAGGTGGCAAACGCAGCTCATTCCCAACGTGCAAAGCCAAGGCAGCGACCCCAGGACCTCTGCTGGAGATGGAAGCTTGTTGAAAACCCAGACTGTCTCCACGGCTTCCCCAGGTGACCCCAAGGAGCACGGACGCCAGCCTGCCTCAAGGTCCCTGCTCGAGACACAGCTCCCGGAGACAATCACTGCCACCCCCTTTGTCTACTGCAGCAGCCACATCCCAGAAGAAAGCATCAAAATGGTTGTTTCATAAAAAGGAAGATACAAGGCACACAAGAATGCGAGCAGGCCCACCGGTCAGAAGGTTGCTCCCCATCTCTGCGTGCGCCTCTGGAGCACCTGTGCCCGCAGTGTCCCCAGGCAAGGACAGAACCTCGGCCGCCTTTGCCCGCCAGCAGCTGGAGCCAGCAGCCCACAGGTCTGACGTCTGTCAGTCTGTTGGTCACACCCAGCGGAGGAATTTGTGGGAGCGACCCTTCTCTATTTCTTTCTTCGTTTTTACTTCTCCCGAGGCTTTTATTTAACAGTGCAAAACTTGGATCGATCTTATGTTTGCTTTTTTTTTTTTAAACTTGAATTTTTTTTTTTTAATTACTTTCTTAGTTTCAACTTGTATATTTTGCTAGCTATGAGCTTTTAAATAAAATTCAAAGGTCAGGAAAAATTTGAAATAAAAATAGATGAAAAGACGTCTTCTCTTTCTGAGAGATCTTATCCCATAAGCGGCTTCTCTGTGAATTGCCCGTCACAAGTAGTGGCCTCTCTGTCCTTGTGAGGTGTACGATAGAGCTACGTAAACAAGACAGCCAACACCACTCGGTGGGTAGTGATCAGCACTCCTGTTTTAGTTTCTCTTGGTTTTTTTCTCTTTTTTAAATGGTAACCTTCACACATATTCAGGCCGGTTTGCAGTGACTTTCCATTTCGTTCTTTTTCACCCCCTCGTTGTAAAAAGCCCAGCACTTGAATTGTTATTACTTTCAATGTCCTGTATTTGTATCTGTTTTACTAGGCAATTAGTGGGATTTTATGCCAGTTGTTAAAATGAGCATTGATGTACCCCTTTTTTTTAAATAGCAAGGTGCAGCCCTTGCCCCAAACTGTCATCTAACCTTTGTCATTCCAGTTTGAGTTAACGTGCTGAGCATTTTTTAAAAGAAGCTTTGTAATAAAACATTTTTAAAAAGAAATGACCCTTTATTAAGAGTGAAGTTCTTGATGCTCTGGAGTTGCTAAGAGTGAATCCAGGGCCAGCCTGGATTGAGCAGGTGTGGCCCATGCTGGTGGTGTGTGGCCTGCCTGTCTCTGGGGACAGCCAGCGCCTAAGGTGAAGTCACCTTTCTCCAGGCCCAAGGTCGAAGAGAGCACTGCACAGCCAGGGCCGCCTGTGCCCCAGGTAGGCAGGACAGCAGGTTGGAGCAGTTTCTGGTACGGCCGCCAGGCAGTCCCTTCCTTCCCAAGGTCCCCATGGTGGCAGGAACATAGCCCCTCCCCGTTGTGGCTCGAGGGCTCCCCAGATCCCGGGTCCCAGAAGCACTGGAAGGCCTTTGCCCCAGCGCATCGCCTTACCATTACCGCTCTTGCGTTCATATCCCATCCTTTCACTATAAGGGCTTGCTGTGTGACATAGCAAGAACTATACTTTCAAGCATCAGCATTTCATGTCTTCCTCAGTAGTTTTCTGCCCCACACGCTATGCTGAGAAGCGCTGATACCACCGGTCTCACATCCCTTGCTGGCACTGCTTCTCGCTCGCCCACAGCACAGCTGGGGAACAGCTGGCTGCCATGCTTGTAACAGCCCTCCACACACTGCACTTGGAGACCGCCATTAAATCACCCCTCAAGTTCTCGTCTCCAGGCTAAGTAATCCCAACTCCCTGAACCTTTCATCATCACTCCTTTAATCATTTTCATTACTGCCCTCTGGAAACGCTCCAGTTCTTCTTCATTTAGTCCTAAAATTGAACCAAGGGGAAAAAGTATTATGTTCAGAAGACCCACTTGGTATGAAGGTTTCATAATCAGGCCTCAGCAGAACTTCATCTGAGAACTCACTCAGATTTCTTCTTGTCTGTGAACTGAATTTATCCAGCACTGAGAGGCTGCCACTGTCACCTCTCTCTGGGAAAGCTTGCTAGCAAATGCAATGAGACAGTGGAGAAAGGGGTGCGCAAGGGGGAAGGTGGCATACCTTCTGGGTCTTGCAGGGAATTAATAACCTGTCTGTCAAGGAAACACCAGCAGGACAAACAGAAGCCGCACAGTTGGCTAGAGCTCACCCCTCGCGTGGCTCCTCCTCCCCTTTGTCTAGTGCAGGAGAGTCAATATGGTGAAAACATGAACTGTTTGGGCCCTCTGAGCCAAGCTGTTTTGTCCACCGTCTGTGTTCCCTACTTCATTTCCTAATTTTTTTCAGTTTTTCCCAAGTGTCCGACATTGTCAAATGGCTCACTTCTGCTATTACCCCCAACTCCTTTCCCAAGACCCGCAGTGCTGGGGGATGGGAGCATCCAGGGTGTGGGGAGCGCCCAGGTTGTTATGAAGGTTTTATATGAAGGAGCATGGGCCACTGCTCCTGTGACTCTGACCAGACCAGCTCCGCTTCCCGCTGCATGCAGAGCTCTGGGCTGGGCTGGGGGTGGCCCACCTGCTTTCTGGAAGCAGCGCCTTCTCCAGGCCTAGCACAGGGTCCCCTATGCCTGCTGCTGTGACTCTGAAAGCTGGGAGAAGCCTTGCAGCTGCTTCCTGGCTATGCTGCCCTAAGTACATTCGATTTTCCTACGACTTGGCCAGAAGCTGCAGGAATATGGAAACCTCTAATAAAAGCCATGAACAGTATCAAGATGTGCATATGGCTTTCCATTTAAAGAGGAGTCATGCGCAGTTTCGGCAGAAACTTTGGTCCCACCTGACAGAGACTGCACGATGTGTTCTCTTACTGTTCCCACCACAAGAAACAAGCACAGACTTCGGTGACATTAAGAACTGCAAGAATTCAGAACACAGTGAGCAGCGGCGTCCTCCCTTGCGTGGACAGCTGGGCTTATGTGAGATCCTCACACGTGAACATCCGAGCTGCTTGGGGCTGAAGACTACAGCCCACCGTTACCTATCACCACGCTAGAAGGGTGTGATTCTAAATGTCACACAGATGCAGACAAACCTAAAGCGATGGCCTTCCTCGGCTGACATTCTGAGCTGCTCTTCTAAACTGCGAAACGCCGTGATCTCATCCTGCAGCCAGGCATCACTGAGGGAGAACGGGGTGGGTGTGATACCAAGCACAGCTACTTCAAATACACAGGGTTTGCATGAATCAGTGAAACATCTCACATAGACAACATGAAATTAGTAACTTAACCTCAAAAAATCATTTATTTCCCTTATTTATTTAGGTACCAGAAATCAAACTTGGGATCTTGTTCTTCCCAGGCAGGCGTTTCCCTTTATTAAAGAAAATGCTAATCATTTTTATCGCCAACACTGCTGTGAGTCACAGTCCACTGGTTTTAAAGATGCTGGCCAGTAAACTTTGACTGAGTACCATGGGCCCTGTGCAAAGTGCTGTCACTGCAAAGTACTTTCTCCTTATCAGACTGTTTATGGTCTGCTCTTGTCATACAGACAGGTTCCTTGTCCCTGGGTGTTGATCAGGGCACCACAAGTCCTACGCTAGAAGGCGCTGGGAAAGCAGAGGTTTGGGTTTGCAGAGCTGCAACTATGGTTGAGCCCCACACACGAGCCCACAGAGCTGCCTCTTTAGGGAGCGAAAACGAGTGGTGATAAGACCCTGGCACATGGAAACTGGCTGATGAATAGATTTCCTCCTTTTATACTTTGTTAGGAAATGTGCTCTTCTGGCCCATTGTGAAAACATCTTGCTGGTGCATTGCCTGTAGCTGTAGAATATTAAATGTATTCCTTCAGCCCAGAGCAGCAGTTGGTAACCAGGACTCAACCTGTTTTGGACTTGAAGCAAGAGGGACAGCATTGGGGTGTTACACAGTCATCTACACTGATGTGTTCATTAAATACTTATCTTAATCTCTAATATCTGAGATACTGCCAGCTAAGCTGATTAGCAGATTTCATCTCCATTAAATATGCTAGAGAAATTGGTAGAGCATGTATCTGTGGAGGGGTGAGAGCACGGCCGCCAAGTAGAAGGTGTGATCGATCCATCACCCGTCATCTCCTTTCTCTTCGTAGTCAGGGATCAACTGACTAGACCTTTCTCCCTCTATAACTTGCCTCAGAATTGAGCTTAGGGAATCAGGAAGTTACATTTGATAGCAGCAAGATGCGTGAAGTGACCAGAGGGAACAGGAGCCTACCAACTAGCCTGGTGGTTGTGACAGGTCCTTTCCTTGTTGGCTCAAGTGCCCGCTGCTCAACTGAAGAGGCAACATCTTCCAGGCATAATCTGCCCTCCACATCCAGCCATGCGGACACCGCTATCACCTCACAATGAGAGGGTCTACCAAGCCCTCGGATGCTACACGCTAGCACTGGGCAGGGGTGGTGCGCTCCACCTTCTCAGGCCTCATGTAGCTGGGGCTGCTCTTCCCTTCATGCCTGGTCCTACAGGCTCCCGCCATGCATCCAGCATCAAAAGCCATCTTCCCTGCCCATGCTTCCGGCCTCACTGAGGCACGACTTGGCTGCTTCAACTCAAACTTGTGATGGTGTCCATGCTCCCCACTCCAGTTTCTCACTACAGCAGCATCTCAGACTGGACGGCAGGATCTTCAGCTAGCAGGGAAGGGGACTTCGCATGTCATCAGGAACCTTGGGGTCCAGAGACTGAAGAGGCAGGAGCTGTAAACTGAAGTCATGCTGGTTATGGTGGTGGCACAGGTGTGCATTCTCAGCTCCCCAGAGGGCTGAGGCAGTGGATCACAAGTCTGAGGCAAGTCTGGGCAGCTCAGTGAGACACTGTCTCAAAAATAAACACGTAGGGGCCGGGGAGATGGCTCAGTAGAATAAGCGCTTCCCTGGCAAGCGCAAGGGCCTGAGTTCAATCCCCGGCTCCGCAAAAAAAAAAAAAAAAGTAAAAATCCCAGATGTATAGCTCAGAAGAGCATCTGCCAGTAAAACACTGGATTTTATCCTTAATGCTACAAGAACATAAACAGCAAGTCACATCAGTAAGAGCTCTGTCCTTCCAGTGGCTACTGTACATTTGAGATTAGCTGTGATTTTAACAAAGGTTCATGAGCGCGCGCGCGCACACACACACACACACACACACACACACACCCTTAATAAGCAAGGACAGGCACCAGGGAAAAGGAAGATCAGGCTATAAAGTGTAATGCCCTCCTCTTAGGTTGGTGAGAACACGGTGCTGACTGTCAGAATCCACTGCTCTCAGGCAAGACACACTTGTAGGAGCCCAATCTATGCACCATGTGGACCAGGATCACATACTGACTGCCGCTTGGCCTTCCTTGGTCCTGCTGCACAGACCAGGAGGGTGAAAGGTCATGCTGTACCTTCCCTCCCCATAGCTTTGCTGGTGGGCTTAAGGGCTCTGGAAGACAAGTCTGCCAGAAGCATACAGTGTGACCAAAAGCCAGGGTGACCAGCGGTTTTACAATTTAGCACTATAAAAGGCCTATTGCCATGAATCCCTCAAAACTCTCCCATGCCCGTTTTCTCCCTGTGCTGATTCCCTGGAGTCCATTTCACTTAAACATTAACTGTATATCCCAATCACCCCATCCCCAAAGGCCCTGGAGTGGGGTCATCCAGACAGCCCCAGCAAAGACACGTGTCCCCAAGCCTTTCGTCTGCACCTGCTGTCGTCACACGAGTGGAGGCCATGGGCTTCCTCCAGGTCTGCCCTGATGCTGCCTGTGTGCCGACTACTGCCGCATCTCAGGTGGAGGTCCCTGCAGGGTGACACGGATTGCTGCTGTGGCTGCAGGCTGACATCCACCCGTACTTCACACAAAGATGGGTTAGTGTGGCGCAAATCTGTTTCAGTCCTATGCCAATCAGCTGCTGCTCCATAGTAACTTACAGGCTAGGGGCAGGGAGCTCCCACAGTACCCAGCTGTTGTTTAGAGACACATTCCCTGGGATAAACTTGACTTTCTCATGTCCAACCACCACTTTCTATTATCATTCCAGGTGTGCAAACACGCTGCTCCTCACAAGGAATGTAGTCATTATGTACTGTACGCATGAACCAAAAGACAAAAGTTACCGCAGTAAAAGATACACAGCCATGAACCCTCTGCAAAATCCTCCCCTCACTTCAAACACTCATCCATGGGCCTTACCACTTTCTGCAGCAGCTCTGAAACCCTTTCCTGAGTGTCTTTTGTTGTGGCTGCCTGAAAGTCCTGAATCGATTCTAACTGTTCAAACTGTTTTCTCTTGTGGCCATTTCGGCTCTGGGAAGGAGCCAGAGCCGGTGGCTACAGCGGATGAGGACGCAGCGTCCTGTTTCTCCGAGGCCTCTGCAGTTGGGAACACTGGCAGCAGCACGCACCAGACTTCTGACCAGGCCTTCAAGAGCTGCTGAGAAAGCGGAAGGCCGATGGCGAGGTGGACTGCGAGGGGGACTTGTGGCAGTGTCTTCCACTGTAATAAATGCTTTTTAAAAAAAATTATAACCCTCACCGTATTGTTCAATACCCCTAGTATGGGAAAGCCTCCCAGCGAATTAGGTTTTTCCTGGGGTCCCAGCTGCCCAGCCTGCTGCACACACCGGCCCTTCCTCACCACACCTGCTGTCTGCCCTGCCTGGTGCCTCTGAGGACTTGGAATGCCTGAATAGCTGTGGGGCAGATGGCGGTGCTCTACACTTCGGGCGTCAGTGCATGCCTGGGGGCACAACTCCTGTGGCATGTAGCCCAGCAGGGCCCTGCTTGCAAAGCCACCTGTCTCCAGGTAACACAGGCAGGGAAAGAGCAGCCACCACTGCCCGGGCCTGCAGCACTGAGCACCCCGATGTACTCCGTAGCAGCCCCAACTGCTGGCCTTAAATACACATGGGGTCACGGCATCACAGGCCCTGCCTTCCTGCAGTGAATTTCCTTCTGCCATTTCAAAACGTACTTCGCAAAAGCTGCTGAAAGAGACACCTGACCTGTGATGGGAAACATGGACACTGATTTGAAACTCACAATTGGGTTCCTTCAGGTTCGAAAGCGAAGCAGTGATTGTTACTCAAACATCTTTCACATTAGTGCTCAGGCAACATCAATGCTGGCTGACGAAAAAACCAGTCCATAATGTGACAGACACACCTTAGATTGCTGGTGGGCTGTTCTCGGGTTTGAGATGGTGGGCATGTTACAATCAGGTGTTTATGGGCAAACGCAAACTCATTCCAGCGTGTGCAACTTGGCTGCTTTGCAGGCCCTCACTGGCAGACTGGCCTGGCCCCGGCTCGTGTGACTCATTAGTCAGAAGTTCACCATCAGCCAGGGCAGGGCAGAGGAGGGCAGGGCAGGGCAGGGCAAGCAGAGATCCTCCTTCCTGAGCTCCCAGCTCCGGGCGGCTCCAGCCGCAGAGCCACCAGCACGCATCCTACAACAGATTGGCAATGCCTGTCAGCAGATGGGCGCAGATGTCTCCCCACGGCACAGGACCACACCTCCTGCAGACACCCTCACAGACACCACAGCTGCTCTTCAGAGTATCCCACTTTCCTGGGAATTACAGTCTGGGGCCTACTTGGTCTTCTTCAATACGTCATTTAATAAACTGGACAGTTTTCTTTTTGGTTTCAGTTCTTACTTCTGTCACAGGATGTAAGGAAGAAGGAAAAGACCCAGTTTTTGACTGACACCCTAAGTTACTTTCTCGTGCAAGGGGTGCAAGGGGAGGAGGCTCTTCCCGACCCATCATCCTCAGCCAGTGTAGCAAAGCCCAGCTTGGGGCGGAACCCAGGGCCCTCGCTCTGAGCTGCCCCCGACTCCTTTTTTATTCTGACAGGGTCTTGCCGCATTGTTAACTTGCCAGGGCTGGGCTCAAACTTGTGATCACCCTGTCTCAGCCCACATTCAAATATTTTTTTTTAAAACTAAAGAGCTCCTTTTTATCAATCATGAAATGAATAAAAAGAAAAATAATAAAAATAAATCTAACCCCAGACACAAAACAAGGAAACTATTTTAGGGCAGACCCGTCTGAAAGTTTACAGTTGTGATTTCCACATCTGCTCTTGGGCTGAATTTTATCCTCAGAGCCTACGTTGACTCTGGCGACGAAGACCTCACTTAAGCGCTGTTAGTGGGCGTGCTGGACCTCAGATTCTTTCGTGGAGGCCTCTGTGGGCCAATGATTAAAGAAGCTTGGGTTACATTATTCCACTTTGTTGGCAAAGAGAAACAGATGTTCCCGAAGCGCCTCCACCCTGTCACCCCCACCCTGCCACAGCCACCACTTCAACGGGAATGGCTTCTGTCTCTGTGATCAAACTGTCACTGATAACAACTTCAGCCGCTGCCACGCTAAATCACAGGTGTTTATTTCCATTCAAAGTTTTAAGACTAAAGGATCCCATTTTATCAGAATCAAGGAAGCCTTGTATAGCACTGATTTTTCACGGACCAAGCCTTGATGCTTCCCCCCACTAAGCGCGGTGACGGGCAGAGCCCCTCAGCCTCAAGGGAGGCCAGAATCCCTGAGTCCCAAAGTCCGAAGGCCCAGGGGACCTGGGATAGTGACTGCAGCATGCTCCCTCTGGAGGAAGTGTGTCCCCTGCCAACTGGGGGCCCACAGTGCTTACAAAGATGAGAGGCTCAAAGAAACGCCCGCGCCAAGGCACCAAGGTGTAAAGCTCTCGGAGACACGGAATTGTGGGCTAGAAAGGGTCAGCCCTCGGTGCAGGGATCTGCCTGTGCTAGACAGAGTAGGAGATGGTGCCTAGGAGGGACAGCACTGCCACGCTGTGGAGCACCCTGGCCTGTCCCCATGCTCCCACTGCCTGGCTGCAGGCTCTGAGGTCCAAGCCCAAACGGGTCACTTGTACTTGTAGAAGCCTTCCCCAGACTTCTTGCCCAACTTCTTCTCCTCCACCAGCTTGCTCAGGGCAGGACTGGGCTGGAACAGTGGGTTATTTGCATCCATCGTGTGCCACCCTATGGAAAGGGGACAAAGTGCAGTGATTATTGAGGCTGTAGCATTCCCAAGATACTGTGAGAGTGTAGGGCATGGGGCTCACCATGCCTACCTGGCAGGGTACCAGGATATCGGCCCTGGACTGTGCAACCAAGGACCTGCGCTGCCCACAGAGCCTGCTCCACAGCTGCGGCTAGTCAGGTTCCACTAGGCGCCGTGCAAGCACAGATCCAAGTCACTGCAGAACCTGCATGTGCCCGGGGCTGACAGGGCACACGGCTCACTGTGGAGTCCAAGCTGATGCTTTGAATGCACACTGCTACCACTGCAAAAGCACCGGCAGGCTGCAAGGACGAGCCTCCTGCTCCTCCACAGGGAGACTATTTTTGTGAGCAGTGTGTAACATTCTCCTTCAATAGTTTATAGTGTTGTACTGTTTTGGTTTTGCAGGACTGGGGGTTGAACCCTTGGCCTTCACACTGAGCTACATCTCCAGCTCTTTTAGAATCTTTTATTTTGAGACAGGGTCTCACTAAGTTTCTAAGTCACCTAAGCTAAACTTGAATTTACAATCCTCCTGCCTCAGCTGCCCGAGTGCTGGGACTATAAGTATGTACCCCCGCACCTGGGTAGCAGTCTAGTGTGCTATGTATGTACGTACACATATAAGTACTTGTATTATGTACATATGTGTATTTCTGCAGTACACAGGACGGAACTTAGGTCCTTCACACTAAGATACATCACTAGCCCTTACTTCAATTTTTATTTTGAGATAGGTTCTTGCAAAATTGGTCAGGCTGGACTTGAATTTGTAATCCTGCCTCAGCTTCCCCGAGTGCTGCGATTACCACGCAGCTTCACAATTATTTTTATTCTAAGATCAAAGGCACCACACTAATACACATATATTTTGTATTTTAGGGAAGGGTCTATAGGGTGTTCAGGGTCTCACTACTAGATTAGACTTGTAGGGATCCGCCTGTTTTCAGACTCTCAAGAGCTGGGATTACAGGCATGCGCCACCATGCCCAGTCTCAATTGCCATCTCAGCTCACCCCAGGGGAAGGGGTGGCGCTGCAGGCCCAGGGATCGAACCCCCGGCCCTTGTGCCTGCTTGCAGGCACTTTAATCCACTGAGCTGTTTGGTCAGCCCCTAACTGAATATATTTTTAAATAGTTGTTTATCTGGATCAAACGGAGTTACACACCTCAACTGGTGATAGAACACCCAGTGTACCTCTGTCATTTCCTGACTCCTACACAGTGCTAAGCAGAGGAAGTGGAGGAAGGCCCACAGGGCTTTGTGCTGTTCCCAACTTCCTGTAACCTCACAAGTGCTTCAGAATGGCAGCACCTCGGGCCTTGCTCCCATCCCTGCACCCAGGACCTTGGACCATAACTGGAATCTCTGGCCTGCTGGGGTTGTATATGGTCCAACCCCAAGGGCCCAGGAAGCTTGGTCCCCACTGTGGCCTGGAGAAGCCATCAGACCACAGGGTCCTGACTGATCAGATCATAGATCAGCCCTGTCTCAGGAGTTGGTCACATCACCTGGGACTACCTCCTTCCCCACAGAGTGGCATAAATCAAGGCACCCTGTGACCCGCAGCCTGCAGCCCAGCCTTCCACCTATGCCAAGCTATAACATGGCCAGCTCAGAAGCAGAAGCCACACGGGTCTTTCCTTGGTCCTCTGAGTCTGTGGTGCTGGACTACAACACCCCCACTCCACTGGCACCTGCCACCCCTTTTCTTCAGACAGGACCAGCCCAGCTATTTAGTACCAGCAACACAGCGTACACACCAACCCAAGGTGAGGAGGACTCTGGGAGCCATCCAAAGCCCCACAGGCTTTGTTTTCAATTTGTGCAACTCTCCAGTCTGAAGAGGCTACTTCAGCTTGCCTGGAGAAGCTAGGGAAGGTGCCAGCTCCTACCATCCATGATGAACTTCGTGGTGTCCAGCCCAACATAGTCGAGAAGCTCAAAGGGACCCATGGGGTAGCCAGCTCCCAACTTCATGGCTACATCGATGTCTTCCTTAGACGCGTCGCCTGTGGAGAAGACATTCCTTTATCACAGCACAGCTCCCTCCCTTCAGCAGAACCCCAGGCACTTGCATACTCAGACCATCTCCAGAGCTGCGCCTCAGAGGAGTGCGCTGGACAGATCTCGAGCTCCTCCCACACCTTGCACTGGAGGGAATGCCGGGCTCTGCAGCCCTGTCAGGGGACAGAGCCCACCTCCTTCCCAAAAGGCTGGGTCTCAGGCTCCACACGTCTCCTGACAAGAGCGGGCAGCAAATGCAAGTGCATTCTCAGGGCTATGCTCTGCCTCTTCTCACTCAGCTGCCGGTGTGACATGGAAGGAGGGATGAGGACCCTCAGGAGCCATCAAAATGGTGCTCAGCTAGGATCAGGGGGCAGGGACGGGTCAGCTATGCAGGGGCTGGATCCCAGCACCATTTAAATAAAAAAGGGAGGGAGGAATAGAGGGAGGAGAAAGGAAAGAGAGAGGAGGAAGGGTGGGAAAGAAAAAGAGAGGAGGGGAGCGGGGGAGGGAGCAAGAGGAAGAGAAAAACAAGGCAGGGAGGGAGCAAGCTGCTTGAAGAAAAAAAGCTTATTGAGAAGTTTCTGCATGTCAAAAGGAATTGTTAAGTGAAAAAACAACCCACAAATTTGGAAAAAAACTTGACTAATGAGCACTCACACAAAGGTCTGTTCTCTAGAATTTATAAAGAACTGAAAAACATTAGAGCCCCAAAATTTAAAGACCCAATCCTGTTTCAGAAAAGAATTCCACTCTGAGTTCCTCTATGACTTTCTGTTGTTGCTTATTTCTATCAACGTTATTAATTCGTACATTTGAGCTGAGCTAGCAGAAAAGAATTTCACTCTGAGTTCCTCTATAACTTTCTGCTGTTGCTTATTTACTATTGATGCTATTAATTCATACATTAGAACCGAGCTAGTGTCCTCTGCACTTGTTCTGGGTGGGCATTGGGTTTCCTCCATATGTTTCTGCATTTGATTCTTTACTGCAGATGTTATTAATTCGGGGATTTCTTTTTTCATTTCCAATCTGAGTTCCTCTATGCCTTTCTGCAGCTGTTTCTTTATTTCAGAAGCCGTTGAACCACTGCTTTCAGCTGTGTGATTCTCAATTTGTTCTGTGTTTGTGTCCTCTGCACTTGTTATGGGTGGGCTTGTGTTCTGAGATTGCATTTTGTTCCTTCTTGTTATTATTTTGTGTAGCACTGTCTTCTGACCTTTGTTGTAGATCTTTGTGCAGTTATAACCTTAGCACATACTGAAGTTCAGGTTCAGATCTACAAAGTTTGGATTTATCCAGCTGTGCCTGGTTTGGGTCTGGCTGCTGTGCTCAGCTCCTTCCTGCTGCTGCCCTTGAGGGTGAACCTGTTGTGCCCCTCTGGCAAGATGTTCTGCTCCTAGACTAGCTGGGTGGTTCTGTCCCCTACACTCTCTGCAGGGATTGCAGCTGAAGGGTTTCACCCCAGGCCTGTATGCCAGGCCTGAGCTGAGTCTGGAGGGGACAAGGTGGAGTAGGGGGGAGAGGCAGCTCTCCCATACACTCACCGGGCCTGGACTAGGACTGGATCTGGGGGTTCCCAGAATGCAACAGAAATTCCTACTCTGTAGGCGGGGTGTGGGGGGAGGTACTACGGAGTGACAGGGGGTGTCCCAAGAAGGTGAAAGACGGTGTCACCCACGCTGTGCCTGGGCTGGGACAAGTAGGTCATGCCAGCACAGGGTAGCCGGAAGCTCTCTCACACACTCACCGGGCCTGGGCTAGGACTGGATCTGGGGGTTCTCGGAATGCGGCAGAAATTCCTACTGGGCAGGCGGGGTAGGGGAGGAGCTGTAGGGTGGCAGGGGGCATCCCAAGGGGTGGAAGAGGGTCTCACCCACACTGTGTCTGGGCTGGAACCAGTAGGTCCCACTGGCACAGGGTAGCCGGAAGCTCTCCCACACACTCACTGGGCCTGGGCTAGGACTGGGTCTCTAAAGACCCAATCCTGAAATGGGCATCTGAGATGAATACACACTTCTCAGAGGATGAAATTAAAGAAGCAAATAAATATATGAAAAAATGCTCATCACTAGCCATCTGTGAAATGCAAATTAAAACAACACTGAGATACCATCTCACCCCAGAAAGAATGGCTATCATAAAGAAATCACCCAACAACAAATGTTGGAGAGGCTGTGGGGAAAAGGGAACTCTTCTCCACTAATGGTGGGAATGTAGACTGGTGCAACCATTATGGAAATCAGTGTGGAGACTCCTTAAAAAACTAGGACTGGAAATCCCATTCAAACCAGCTATCCCCCTAGTGGGAATTTTCCTGGAGGAACTAAAAATGTTGTATCATAGTGACATGTGTACCTATGTTTATAGCAGCACTATCTGTGATAGCCAAATCTTGGAAACCATGATGTCCATCACATGAGGAACGGTTGAAAAAGATGTGGTATTTTTATGGAATGGAGTATTACTCAGCTAGAAAGAATGATAAACTCTAAGCCTTTATATTTAAGTGGATTCCACTTGAAGATATACTCATAAGTGAAATAAACCAGACCACATGTGTAAATATCATATAGCCTCCCTAGTATAAGAACTCAAAGGAAGAAATAAAAATAGAAAGGCATAACACAATTAAAAGGAAAGCAAGAACTTGAGGGTTAGTTAACGAAGAGAAGGCAAGGAGAAAAGCTAGAAAACATGAAAGGGGCAAAGTCATACATTTATATACACAAGATGGGAAAGGCAATTGTCCTGAGAATCTTCAGCATGTTTTTGAAAATAGCAGTTAATTGGTAGGTCTCTCACTATATATATATGCTGATACCTGGGAATGAAGCAACTGCACTGAAGAAATCAATGTGTAATGGTAGGGTCATGCTTGGAATGCCTGTCATTCTGGTCTTCTAATTACATACTGCTTGTCATGACTTACCAATAATGGCCATACTGACTCTCAAGTAAAGGTTTAAAAAAAAAAAAAAAAAAAGGTAATAAATGAAAACATGAGACAAAAAAATGTCATAAGACTGTCCTGCTACACGGTTGTAAATTGTTAGATTTCTAAATTTCTGTGTAAAAATATGTAAATGCTTATTCTTATTTTTTAAAATTTCTTTATCTATTTAATTTTTTTTTCTTCATATTCTGGAGGGACTCAAAGTTTAACATATCAATACTTGATGGAAAATACCTGTTCCATGTTATATTTAAGATGTTTGACATTAAGACAGATAGTGAGGTTAAGCTCAACTGCCTATGTTATAGGGTAATAATATCATTAAGCTTCTCTTCTGGAGGGTTAACAACTTAAGTTTATAGACCAAAAATTAAAGAAAAAGAAGGGCTACAAGGACAGCCAACATTTTGGCCCTAGTCTTTCAAGGTCAGTAAGGACTCAGGAAATCGGAGAACCTGTACTATAACATCCTGTAACTCAGTTGTGGCCCAAATTTTCTAATCAAGGAGATCTTGGGGCCACAGAGGAACGTGATAGATGATGTAGAGTACACCTAAGGAAAGTCACATGGAGAGAAAACATTCTCTCAAGCTTTCACAGAGAGCAAACTGGTCAAACAACAGCCATGACTCATCCACATGGCTGACACCGCCAAAGGATCTACAATCTGAGGTACAGGGTTTCAGGTTAAATCCTGGGGGATTTGACTGACCTTATCAGATACAAAAGTTACATTTCTTGTTATATAGGTCTTGCTCTTTCTTGGTCTTACTCATCCAGCAGAAAAGTATGAAAATGAAGTATAAAAAATAAAGCCATATTAATATGCTGAGCTGTAAAAGGCTCAAGTCAACAACTTTGGACATTGACAGTCTTATGGAAAACCCATTACTATTATGGACTATTGGACTATATTGGGATATTTTGCTAAATTCATGCACCTACAATATTTAAATGACAATGGAATGCCCTTCTCTGACAAAACTAACCAAAAAAGGGGGATACAAATGAAGGACCATTTTGTATCTGGATATTCAAAATAGTTAGGATAGACATACAACTACATTCTCTTAATTCAATGAATAGAGAGGTTTGTTCTAATAGTGTTTGAGACAGGATATCAGGCCTGCATCTTGTACAATGAATAACCACTAAGACAATGATATGCAATGTATTAATTATTGAAAATGTACTAGTAATTGGTTGTGAAACTGTCTCATTGCTATTTGTTTCTCAATAATACTAAAAAAAAAAAAAAAAAAAAAAACAAGCAAGCCAGCCAGCCAGCCAGACCAAAGCCGACTGAGCGCTGCCACAGCCAGGACAAGGGCCAGGGCCCTCCTGGGAGCTGCCCCATCTCATGCCACCAGCAGTTCACCACCTCCCACCTCCACTCCAGTGGCCTTTCTCTGAAGTCAGAAACTGGCAGGATGTGCAACAGCAGCACTGAGAGTTTTGTTTCAAAGCATAATGAAGCAGTTATTCATAGCAAAACTAAATGAAACACTAAAATGGAGGCCTGCACACCTGAACACTCAGACTTTATACATAAAGAAAGGAACGACCTAGATCTCCATAAAGACTACCTTCTAGGACAGAGAACCCATGCTGAAGCAATGGGCAATATGGGAGGGCAGTCGGTATTCCACGGTGGCATCATTAGGGCCACATTAAGGGGCAGAGGCCTGGAGAAGCACCTCTGGGTTTGGGACCACCAGAAAGCAAAGAGGTCACCAATGGGTGCCTCCTTGGGCAGCCTTGTACCCCAGCCACTTTCATTTCTGTCTACTGTGGGAGGTACCAGGACCCTGCATGAGACAGAAAATCAGGCACTTCAGCTGCCCACAGGACAGACAGGAGTCTTGTAACATGCAAACCCACCACAGCCACATCACAGGTGCAGACAATGTGGGGAGAAGGAACGTGGCACGTGGGGTGTGGCTCTGCAGCACAAAGTGTGTTCACACCAGAATTCAAGTCCGGTACTCCTAGGGCTCTGCAGACCCCTCAGGATTGTGCCTGGGGTGTGGGCCCGAGTCCTCTGCACTGACCCTGTCCCTCCCTCAGCCTCTGCTCGGGATCCCAGGTTACAATTCCGAGTCACAGCCTGCACTAAAGCTCCAAGCGCACACACACAGCAACATCACACAGCAGGCTGTGGGCCCAAAAGCAATGGCTTCTGCCTCACAAAGCCACTGAGTCTCACCCACAGGAGGCGGCTCCAGAGCCTGGCCCCAGGGGAACACTTCCCTCCCCAAAGTGATGCGAAGACACAGGGCCCATAGCAAAGAGCAGAGCGGCTTCACACAGTTGGCACAGCCCTGACACTCTCTTCCTGAGTAACGGGAGCAAGCAAGGCAAAGAGCGAGGGAGAAGTAAAGATGCATGCAGACAGGGGGATCATACAGACACTAAAGGTGGCCTTGCTTTAGGCTGGTCATCCCTGAACTCTCTAGGGTCTCACACACACACGTGCACACGCACACACTTCCCACTCCAACTAAAGGCCCCAATCCTAGATAAGAGCAGTAGCCTGGTGCACCCTAAACCCTGCAAGGCCAGCCAGCATAGGGTCTTCCAGAGCCAGCTTCCTCCCCAGCTCTCCAGTGCCATCTGCCAGCCGCTCAGGGCACTGCCAGCAGGGCTGTGGACAGAGAGTGATGGCAGGAGGATGTGTGCCCAGGCTTACTGAGCAGCAGCCGCCCCAGCCACGCACCACACGCCAGCTCACCTATGACATAGCCTTGGGCTCTGGAACCTCAGAGCCCGGTGATTTCTACCCTGTGACAGGTAGTGACAGGGCTGGCTTCCTCTGCCCCGCACAACAACCCAACCCAGCATGGCTCTGGGTGATACCTCGTTCGTACAGCCGGACAGCCTCCAGGAGGTAGGGCACCAGGAGCCTGTTCACGATGAACCCTGGCGTGTCCTGCAGCAATAGGCAGAGGAGAGGCAGGGACTGCTGTTACCGTGGTCCTTCACATCGACTGCCTTCGCACCAGTCTGTGCTGCCGCGCTTCATGCTACAGCACCATCATCACCCTCACTCCATAGCACAGCACCCTCCACTCCCCCATTACCCTTCCAGGAGCCCAGACAATGCCCTCCAGGGTGTGCACCCTTGACCACTCTGGGGACAGATGGTCACTGTCCCTGAGGGCCCCTGCACACAGGGCATCAGGTGAGCAGAGGTAGGAGGTGCAGACCCGAGAGCCCCAGGTCAGAATAAGACCTGCACCCCTTATTCTGTTGGCTGTAGGGTCTGGAGTTGCCTGGTCATGAGCTCCAACAACTTACCCACAGGGTCCTAGCCCTCCCACCTGGCAGGGCTCTTGAGCCCCCCTGAGACTACAGTGTGCCCCTCCCTGCCACACCTGGCTGCTCAAGGGAGAAGGTACTTACCCACCCTCCCTCACTGCCAGAGCCACGGCCAGGCAGGCCCTTGGGCCTGGGAGCTCAGCTACCCGCTTCTCACCCAGCCAGCCTGCCCGGTACTTCACAGCGGGTGCTCCTGGACTCTACCTTGCAGGACACAGGGTGCTTTCCCAGAGTTTTGGCGAAGTCCAGCAGAGACTCAAACGTCTTCTGGCTGGTCATGGGCGTCTTGATGACCTGGGGATGCACAGGAGACAGTCAGGGCCAGAGCACTACTGCTGACCACAACTGGGCAAACACTGGCTGAACAGTGCCCTGCAGCAGCCAGGCTCTCAGGGGAGACAGATGCTCTGGATGCCTGCCTCCAGAAGTGCCCTGCTGCAGTTGCCCATCCTCAAGGCCTAAGGCACTGGCAACATGAAGCGTGAGTTGCTCAGAGCCCCAGCTGTACCGTGCACTTCAGAGAAATCAGATGACCCTGGAAAGGGAGGACACGTGACCCCTGGTACCAGCATTTGAGGCACCACCTTCCCCTCCTGCCCTGCAGAGTGGGGCAATGTCTCCCCTGGAGCCCAAGAGAGGCCCTCCAGAACTCCTGGATGAGCACCCCACTGCACTGTCCCACACACACACTGCCCAAGTCCACTGACACCCTAAGGAGGCGGCTCAGGTCACACTATGGGAGCCAGCAGGCACAGCTCTCCCCGTTGGCCTCCAGATGTGAGCAGTAAGTCAAGACCCAGCACGGGCAGGTCTCAGCGATACTCCAAGAATATACATGTTGGGGATCAGACCTGGCCAAAGGGACCCGTGTGCATTTCAACACGTGCACACACATATGTACATACAAAGCACGCACACAGCAGTGAAGAGCCACAGAGTCAAGGTGAGGTGCTGTGTCTCCACCTCCAACCTTCCCCATAGCTCACAGTGAACCTCAACCTGAGAAGTGAGGATAAAGTGGCATGCACTCTCCTAAGAGGTGCCCACCTCGCTGCACTGGTGTGCACAGACAAGCAGCTGCGTAAAATGCAAGGAACTCACCCTGTTCCCATGCTCACACAGGACTCGACCTGACCCGCCCGAGAGTGCAATGAGCGAAGCCAGGGACAAGAAGCAGGACCTGTGGGAGCTCCCTAGAGCAGCCTCAAGGGAGGGCTGAGTGGGGGCAAAGGAGTGGGCCGTGGACAGCAAGAATGTATGTTCAGTCACTCAGCAGCAGCGCAAGCTCCAGAATCCACCCGAGGCTCCCGGTGACCCAGCTGCTGCACAGTGGGAGAAGAGTAGGAACACAAGCACAGCGTGGCCCCACTGACCTCCACCAGCTTCATCACCGGCACTGGGTTGAAGAAGTGGAGGCCGGCGAAGCGGTCCTGCCGGGTGGTGGCATTGGCTATGCTGGTGATCTGCAGGGACGACGTGTTGCTGGCGAAGATGGTGTGTCTGCAGAGAGAGAAGAGCTGGGCTCCACCGGCCTCGAGCCCCTTTTGTCCCCATGGTCCCCGCCATCACAAAGCAGAAAGGACAGAGATGCAGAGCGGGAGTTGGGCTTGGCTTTTCTTTAGGATCCAACTGTAGCCCATGTGTAACCTGTTCAAAGGCAGAGTTCTTCCACATCTTCCCTAAACCTGAAGGAACTGACAGGTCCTGACTACCTGGAGAAGCCAATTTTCAGGGCACGGAAGGAAAAAGGTGGCAGCTAATGAGCTTGAAACATCACACAGCTCAGCCACAGAGTGAAGCTGTAGGAGACCAGCTTCACATGGAGAATCGCAGGCCTAAAAGGAGCAACACAAACAGAACCAGCAACTCTGAAAGGATACTCAACCAGAAACACCAAGTCCTCTCGGTAGAAAACTGTCCTTTCACATTCTGTGCAAATTAAAGTGAAAATTGAAGAAACCAACAGCTAAGGGAGGGAGATTTCGGGGTATCCATGACTCATTCAAATACTCTGCTTACAAAGAGCTAGAAAACAGCATCATCATCCTTGGTGTACACCAAACGATGTGTGCACTGTTAAATCCACACTGACATAAGCAAAAGGTCATTTTCTGCAACCTACGAGGCAAGACACTCAGCTCCCCTGTGGCGCTGCCTGGTGGATGGACATGGACACGCACACACACACACAGACACACACAGCCTAGCGTGGGGCTTGCTTACTCCAGATTCTGGGGGGTCCTGCTGTCTTGTGGGCAGGGCAGTGGAAGTAGGGGCCGGCAGCTGGGTCCTGCTGTGCCTGGCTCAGGAGAGCAACCCTTGCTCAGGAAAGTGCAGTCCCAAATACATGCACCACCTGCTGTGTGGCAAGCCAGGCTGTGAGGTGCCAGAGTTCCTCTTCCCCAGAGGACCTGCTCTGCTGCTGCAATGGGGCTGGCGTGTCTGCATGTGAGCACAGACGCCTTGCCCTCCAAAAGCACTCATGCCGCTGTCCTGCACATCCACTCTCCCCCTCTTCTGCCTGCTCTCTTTCTGACACTCAGGTCCCCAAACAGACTTTCATCCTAGAGGCAGCAAAAGAAACAGATGGCAAGATGACCCAGGCCACAGCCTGCCCTGTGTGCTGGAGAGGGGGTTCTTGGAATGGCAGAAGTTGGGTCCATGCCTGGCTTTGGCTGCACTCCTCGCAGATGCACTGCCTCACTGCAGCTCTGGGCAGGGCGCCACAACCTACGCACACTTCCTCTCACACAGCAGGGCCTGCCTAGAAGCCTTAGCAGGAGAGTGTAGCTCAGCAGATCTGCTCTGAAAAGCTCTGGCAACCTGGTGTGGCGGCACACACCTGCAGTCCCAGCCACCCTGGAGGCTGAGGCAAGAGGATCAACTGTGCCCACAAAGCTCAAGACCAGCCTGGGCACAGAGAGATACTGATCCCCAAAAGAAACAACTTGGATTCAGCAAGTATTCCACAGCAGTGGTGATGACATGCCAAGAGAAAGCTGGGGGAGGGATGGCCAGCCACGAGGTCTCATCTCTGGCAGTGTCTTTCCACTCTGCTTTGCGTAAACTCTGGTGACAGAACCTGTACGTTTGAGACTGGGCATGGTGGTGCACGCCTGTAATCCCAGCTCTTGGGAGGCTGTAAATAGGCGGATCACTATGAGTCTGATCTAGTAGTGAGACCCTGAACACGCTGTAGACCCTTCCCTAAAATACACACACACAAAAAGAACCTGCATGTTCCAAACTGCAGCAAGGCACTCAGGAAATCAGAGGTGACTCAGGCAACCACAACCCCCGAGGCAGCTCCATGGACACTGCTCCCTACTCCCTTGACAAGGGCTTCCCAAGCCAGCAGGCCCTGCCTCCTCTCCCTTCCCAAGGCCAGGCCGAACTCTGCAGGGCACCAAGGGGATCCAATGCCAATCTCAACAGTGTCCCTCTTTGTCAGGTGTCTCTACCACCCCTCACTGCACTGATCAGTACCTTATTAGTGATAGGAAGACAGGGCTCTTCTCTGTTGGGGCGGGGCCTCCAGGCCACCAGGCCCCATGGCCGAGGGCTGACTTTGCAGCACGATGACACCAAGTATCCCCCCCACCTTTTTTGTATATTTTAGGGAAGGGTCTATGGGGTATTCAGGGTCTCACTACAAGATTGGACTCGTAGTGATCCGCCTGTTTACAGCCTCCCAAGAGCTGGGATTATAGGCCTGCGCCACCATGCCTGGTCTCAACTGCCATCTCAGCATGCCATAGGGGCGGGGCCCAGCACAGCAGGCCTGGGGATTGAACCCTGTCCCCTGCGCCTACTTGCAGGTGCTTTAATCCACTGAGCTATTTGGCCATCCCTCCAAGTATTCTCCTTTAACCACTATCCTGGGCGGCTCTGAGCGTCCCTCTTGCAAAATCCTTGTTTGCTAACATGGTCTAACTGAAAAGAGTGATGTGGCTACATAGGCAGTAGGAATATGAACTGACAAGCTCCAGGTCACAACTTCCAAGGTCACACACTCTGGAGGGCTGTGATCTCAGAGGTGAGGTGTTAGCAGCGTGAGGCCACCGATGCCAGTGCTGCCCGGGGCACCTTGCTGCCCTGTGGGAGGCCTCTGCAGGAAGCTTGGCAAGGTCTCTTGGAGCCCTGGTAACGTTCCCAGACGTTTTCTGTTGAAGTCAAGAAAGCTCTTAACAGGCAGCCCTGGAGCACTCTCTACTCCAGCCAGGCAGCCCAGAAGCAAACTGGGAGGACGGTGAACAAGGAAATGGGCTGGCCTCCAGGGGAGCACGTACTCAGCCGCGAACTTGTCCAGCCTTTGGAAGAGCTCATTCTTCACCTTGAGGTTCTCCACGATGGCCTCCACCACCAAATCAGTGCTGTGCACCACGGCTGCTGCGTCTGTGCTGGTCGAGATGCTGCTCAAGGTCTTTGCCACGAACTCATCAGCAGCCTGCAGGAGAAGCGATGGTCACCGCAGGCCCTGCTGCTGCAGGGCTGGAGACCTGGCCTGCACAAGGCCAGGGTTCCAGGGATCAAATTCCTGCCGCCTTCCTACTCAGTGGCCATGTGGTCTCTATGTGCCTCTGGACATTCACTGTCCCTTGTCAGAGTGGCCACCTGCTATGGTTTGTGTTTGTACGTCCCACAAAGGCTCACGTGGTCACAGGGCTTTTCTCGGAGGTGGCTGGATCCAGAGTGTGTGACTGGTGGTGCAGTTCTGGGACTAAGGGTATGGCTGCTACACCTGACCTGGCGCAGGCAGCCTGCTCACAACAGAAATGACAGAAAGTCCTTTGCTTGTTGCTCTTGCTGTCTTCCTCCACCGCAAATGGTTGCCCCTCTGCCATGCCACCCTGCCTAGGGGCCAGTCCCTTAGGGACTGAAACCTCTGCAAACTGTGAGCCAAATAATCCTTTCCTCCTTTCACTTTGTGTGTTGGGCATTTTGTCTCAGTCACAAGAAAAAAGGAACTGAGATACTGCCTACCTCCTGAGCTGTGTGTTCACAGCAACCTGACTGGCCCACTGGACAAGGTGTGACCTAACTCGTGGCATGTTTAAACACTTTATCATAGTGACAGTAACTGACACAAATCCCCCAAACTCTTCCCTCCTCTTTCTAACACTCTTATCCCATGGTCCTTCCCACATTCTGCAGCAGCTCTGCAGTCCTCTTTCCTGAGTGTCTTTACTTGCACTGTCATGGCTGCCTCTGTGTCCTGAAATGATTCAAAACACTGTCCTTTCATGGTTTGACTCTGAGGAAGAGCCAGAAGTTGCCTGGTACCAGCTCAGTGAATGGAGCTACACTGTTGTGTTTTCATGAGCCTGGCCTTCCTTGGATGGCATGGGCCCCAACTTTCACTGTATTTTTGATCCCACCTCATAAAGACACTCGGGAAAGAGGATTCACAGAGCGGCCTCAGGAAGTGGCAAGGATGGGATGAGTGCCCAGGAGAGCTCTGAGCGGCTCCTGGTGTGGGTCTTCTCTAGCCAACTGCTTGCACTGCTTCTGCTTCTGGCAGTGGGGTGCCTCCTCACCCTGGGGGTCCCCCACTTCATGAGAGGGCAGGATCAGATACTACCTGAGCACCCTAATTTCCTATCTAAATATGATGCTTATCTTACTGTTTTGTTTTCATCTCACAAATTATACAAGTCTTTATCTTCATCTATCTCCTTCCTCTATCCTCCTGGCAAATCAGTGTCCCTCGACCCCAAGCTCTCAGTGCTCTCTGGAATGGGTTCACTGCCTACAGAAACTGTCTCCTTGACCTTAAGTCCTTCACTTCTTTTTCCTAATCACCTCCTGACTTTAGTGTCACCAATGCTGGATCAGTCTACAGTCACTGGGAAATGAGTTTCCACAAACTTGAAACACACAAACACACACAAGGCAAACCAAGGCCAGAAGCCCACAGGAGTGGGAGTGGGGAGAGGACTGGCCTTAGGGATGTCAGGAGCAGAACCCACCTTGGGGTTTTCTGCAAACTTCTTCTTTGCCACCTTCCTCAGGCTGTCCTCGATCCCTTTTTTGGACTTGGCCAGGATGTCCTCAGTTTGGTCCACCAACACCACTGTGTGGCCAGTAGCTGCAGCAACCTAGAGCAGAAGAGGAACAAAGATTTCTTTGTAAAAGAAAGAAAATAAAACTAAACAGAAAAATAATCTTATTCCTCATGAATTCCACCACCACTCCAGTTAGAACAAATAGTGTGAAAAATAAGTTGACATTAAACACACACTTTCTGCCAAACAGTACTGTGACCCTGACATGGAAGAAAGGAGCTGTCACAGCACCTCAAGAAGGTCACCTGAGTGACCCCAACAGCTCTAAGTCCAAGCCCTCCACCCCAGAAGCTTCTGCCGCAGGGGCCACTCAGCGAAGGGACCCAGAAACCAGCCCCTCTGCCACACAGCTGGACTCCACTCCAAGGGCTCGCAGTCCACTGCCCCACGAGGCCACCATCTGGCCTGGCTCCTACATCCTCAATCAGAAGCAGAGACACTTCACAGTGGCTGCTGGGCCAGAGCCCTGCTCACAGCAGGACCATAGGCAGGGCTCAAAAGGGCCCGGCAAGTTCCCGAAGCAGTGTGCCCCTGCACCTAGCCCTGATTGCTTGGGGATCACCGGGCCCAGTAGCTCAAAGTGTGGCCAAGTGACTCATGCAGCAGGCCACACCTCCTGCCTAGGAAGCGCTACAGCGAGGCAGGCTGCTGGCACCTGCCAGCCCACTGCGCCCACACAGCACACGTCCTGTGCCCAGTGTTCGTGCAACTCTGCAGCTGCCGCCTCAAGAGGCTGAGGTCAGGGACAGCATGGGCAGTCTCCTGACAGCACTGCAGTGCATCCTGTGTGACCCCTGGGAGGGGACCCACCTTGGATCCCAACATCTGCCTTCATTTCCCACTCCCTTCTGCCTTGCCTCCTGTCACAGTTGTGACGGCAAGCTGGGTCCTGTGGTCCTGCCTGGTGACATAACACATGGTGGGATCCCAACACTGAAACTAAGAAACTAACTGGCATCACTAGTAAATCATCCAGGAAGTCACTTTCCAAATTATTACAAACACATTTGGCTGACACTGGACATGTTTTATTATGCTGCAGATAAACCATCACGCCAGCCTTGCTGCTTTATTTTCTCAAACTTGTCTTAGCCACTTTTCCATTGCTACAACAAAATACCTGACGCCCACAACTCAGAGGAGGATAGATTTGATTTTTTGGCTCATAACTTAAGTTCTCGGTTGGCTGACTCCAAAGCTGACAAAACAGCAGGGGAGCCTGGCAAAGGAGAAAGCGCTTACCCCAGGGTAACCTGAAGCAGAGAGACAGAACTGAGGACAGAAGGACTTTTCTGGGTCACACCTCCAGTGAGCACCACCCTGGGCTCCAGCGCCTTGCAGCAGTTGGCTGTGAACTCTCAGGGGACGAACCACCGGATAGCACCCAAGACCCAGTTTACCCTCACACACCTGAGACTGGAGCCACTTCAGAGCCAAGCAGGCAGAAGGCTGTGAGTCAAATCCAGTGCAGAGACGAAATGCTGCCAAGTAATCAGGTTGGATGAAAGGAACATGCACATTCATATAACCCTAGAATTTACCCAGAAAAAAAAAAAAAAAAAAAAAAAAGCCAGAAAGCATTTTCCATCTCAGCGGGGATCTTCTCTGCTCCTTGTGCCCACCCTCTGCTAAGCACCAGGCCCACACAGGCCCCAGGACAATTCGCCAGCTACGACTATGCCTGCAGCCCCTGGAGAAGGCACAGAGAGCACACGTCTCCACTGTGGGGACTGCACTGACCACCGTAAGCCTTGGGCCCTGGCTGGAAGTCCTGGAACAACATGAACCCGTGTGCCTTCAACCCATGGTGAGAAGTCCTCACAGGAGGCAGTGACCCTCGCCAGCACAGACACTGCACACAGAAACAACTCGCAGCATCATGTCTTCCACCACTGTGGTGAAGGGAACAAGTGCTCACACATTCATAGTCTGTGTTAGTTACAGGACTGTCTGACTGGTGAAAGCAAGCACAAATTTAAAGATTTATTATAGGACTTTTGGATCCCCTAATAAGCCAGAAAACCCCAGTTGGAAAGCACCTTGAGCTTGTTTAGCCTTTCTGGTAATTAAGGACCAAGTGTGTGTGGTGACCTACGGCAGCAAACACAGGAGCAGAGCGTCCTCTTCTTGCGTCCAGTAGAGGGGCTGATCACATTTTCAGCTGCAGCTCTGAGCTCACGGCTCCCAGCCCTCAATGTGAGGTTCAGCTTCTGAAAAGTGCCACTCACACACCATCGCCACCGGCACCCACGGCCTGCAAGGCCCCAACAGTCGGACCCTCTCCTCCTTGGATGAGCTCCTCCCTTCCACCTAACTGCTCTCTTCCTTCACTCCCCTTGTGGACGAGTCACCCTTACTTGCAATTGAAGCCACTCTCCGGCCTAGACAGACACGGGGGCTCACAGTGGGTTCCAGCTATTGCTCCCAAAAAACACCAAGTCTTGGGAGTGATGGAGTCCTTCTCCACAGCTGTTAAGTGTGCTGGTTTAAAGCTAAGGCAATCACAAATGCTGTTCTTCTTGGCTCCACGCAAGTGCAATAGAGAACACAATCTAGACTGGGGAAGCCTGTGGATACTTTGGGTAAAACACACAAATGTTATTTAAAAAAAAAAAAAAAAATCCCTCCTACTGGATGATCAGAGGTCACAGATAAACCCTTGGCTTCTCAGGGTGAGTGCTTCTGAACCTGCTCCAACATCTGTGTGTCCTGGGAAGGACCAGAAGCACTGGCTACAGAGCACCCCAAGGGCCACATCCCAGCATTCACTCCTCTGTTCACTGCTGATGCTGCTGACTCGATACCTGCTATGCACCTGGCTCTGGAGTCATGGAACAGTGGTCAGCAAGACAAATGCTGCTGTCAGGAAGCCGCCATGTCGCATCAAACACTGCAGCAGATCTTCACACATATCATTTTCACTGTCTCTCCAAGCTAACCACAGGTTGTGGTTTGAAGCTGGGGCTACATATTCATTGGCTGTTCCTCACTCCAAAGGCAACAGTCTGAGACAGTACCAAGGTCCATGTCCTGGTACTCTTCTGCCAACTAGGCACTGGAAAAGTCTTAAACCTCTGCCATCTGCAAAACTGGGGCATCAATACTGTTGGATTAAATGAGCTAATATAGCTGAACATGCACAACAGTGTCCCCCATCTTACCACAGCTATATTCAAGCCTGTCCCTTGTCTCCTTCTGCAAGGGACTAAAGCCTATGCTTGGACCTGGATATACTCTCCTAACGTAAAATGGAGCTGGCTCTTAAAAAATAGCACCTCAGTCTGTGGGCTCCACTTACAAATGCATTTGTTTTTGAAGATTTGGAACAACATGAAAGAGCTCACAAATGAATTTCATGGTGCAGGAATACCAAATACACTATAAAAGGTTCTAGTACAGAAAGCTGGGATGAGAAGTGGGATTGTCCAGAAGCCTTGAAACTCTTCTGGTCTCCCAGGAGTCTGAAAAAGTTTGGAGATGCTGACTAGAGAAGCACTAGACTGCAGTATCCAGGGTCTGATGGGTAACTCTAGTTGGAGCTCAGAAGACCAGAATGCTGATAGGAATATGGACAATAAAGGCCAGGCTCAACAGGTTTCAGTTAGGAACAAGGATCCCACTGGCAACTGGACTAGGGGCTATCTGTGTTAGTCTAGCAGAAAACTTGCTCAAATTTTGTCTATGTCCTGAGACTTTGCAGGAGACTGAGATTAAAGTTGGCAGGCTGACTTATGTGGCTTAGGAAACTTTCAAGGCAGACTAACATTCAAGCTACGGTATGGGCATACTGCTAACTGCTTTTAGCTATATGTATAGTTTGATGGCAAAAAGCTAAGCATAAACATTTGAAAAACTTAAATTTTGCCCTGAAAAGAACCATAATGTAAAGTCAGGGCAAAAAGAGGCATGGTTGCCGGAGAGATTAAAAAAAAAAAAAAAAAAAAATTAAGGGGGCCTGTCCCTTAGCTCAGTTCTTTACGTGGCTGCTTCAATAAAGCAGTCAGGCTCAGGTTGCTGTGGTTGGATCCCCACAACTCAAGCCAGCCAAACCTGCCCTGAAGGCATTCGGAGCAAAAAAAAAAATTAAATTTTTTTAAAATTTTAAAGCATTATTTTAAAAGAAAAGAAAACAAAACCCATCATTTAAAAAATTAGTGTTGAGACTGGGCGTGGTGGCACGCCTGTAATCCCAGTTCTTAGGAAGCTATAAACAGGCTAAACACCTTGTGGACCCTTCCCTAAAATACTAAATTTGGTGTCATTTACATGAAACCAACTACTCTGTACGAGCACAAGAAAGGGTTTAAGGGATCTAAGCAAGACTCCACCCCTATCATAAGTTCAAGCATGCAGAGTGTGAACCTTGAAGAGTATCTGAAACCCAAGTTTAACAAGGGCCTCCTGCTTCTCTGGGATTCATCTCTCTCCCCTCAGTCTTCCGGGCACTGCAGCTATGGCCCCCACTGGTGGCCATCTTTCATCACCCGCATGATGCTGCTTTTAAAGGCAGGCAGAGTTCACAGATGCCAGGTTGTGCAGGCTTCCTCCTGGATTGCAAAGGAAGGTCTTGGAGGCAAGGGAATATGCCCAACAAGGCGACATGTGAAGCTGTGGGAATGAAGCCAAAGCTTCAGTGAAGTCCCCAGGAAGTTGGAGATGCCACAAACATATAGTCAAAGAAAGCTATATGCCCTAAGCAGCACAGCCCAAGAAATAGGACCCGTGGGCCGCAACCAGCAAGGCCACAGAGGCGGGTGGGGCAAAGCACTTCAGAACTCACATCTCACCAACATGCATCTTGGATACCAGATATGGAGCTACAGGACTTAACGTTTACTCTGCTCAGTTTCTGTTTTGCTTCAGTCCAATTCTTTTCTATCCTGCAATCCTTTTCATTTCTATGTTTTTTGGGGGCTTTTAAAAATGTATTTAGTATAGTGTCTCACTATGTAGATTGGACTCACAGTGATCCTCTCATTTTCAGCCTTCCAGGCACTGGGATTCCAAGCCACCATGCCCATTCTCAATCTCTG